CCAGGCAGTGGGGGGTGGGGGGCGAAGAGAGGTTGGACTAGAAGACCGCCCAGGGCCCCCTCCTGCCTCTATTCGGATTGATATTACAGCCTGGGTGGGGAAGGTGGAGCATTGCGGTCGGCCCTTGGAGCCAAAGCGAAGACCCCAGCCCCAAATTCCCGGGCAGCGGGTGGGCGAAGGAGGGGGGGGCTGAAAAGCAAGAGGCGACCCCCGGGAGAAGCGGAGGGAGCGACCCTCCCTGCCCGGGGAAAAAGGCGCAGGAGAGCCCTAGATGGCCAGGGGGTGGGTGGGAGGAGAAAGGCAGGCGAAGCCCCCTCCCCAACCAGAGACTCACCTGCGATGGCGAGGGAAGGGAAGGGGAAGCGAAGCGAGCCGGGCAGCGGAGAAGGCAGGCAGGCGGGACGAGCGAGCGAGCGAGGAAGAGCCGTGCGGGGCCAGCCTTTATAGCGGCCGGCCGGGGCCTCGCCCCCCACCCACCCCCAGCCTCGCCCGCCCCCGGCCGGCCCCCGCAGCCCTTTGCCAAGGACGGGCTGCCTTCCCACCACCAGCGGAACCCGGTTTAGCCCCCCCGGTTGCCAGATTTCCCCCGGTCGTCTGGATTGAGGGCTCCGGAGCAGACTCCGGGGTGGGGAGGGGGTGGGGAAGGGGCGGCTGAAAGAATTGGGGGGGGGGGACACACAAAGAACTCTGCATCATGGAGATCCCGCATCTCCCATCTTGGTCTGGAAGTGGTACTACAGGGTTTCCTCTCTGAGCAGGGGGGTGGAGGAGGAGACCTCTGCTCTGATTGATTGGTTGATTGATTGATTGATTGATTGATTGATTGGGGTCTCCTGCTTGAGCAGGGAGTTGGACTGGTGGATCTCCAAGGTCCCTTCTAACTCTGTTTCTCTTCTCTTCTCTTCTCTTCCATTCTTTCTTCTCTTCTCTTTTCGTCTCTTCTCTTCTCTTCTTTTCTTTTCTCTTCTCTTCTCTTCTCTTCCATTCTTTCTTCTCTTCTCTTCTCTTCTCTTCTCTTCTCTTCTCTTCTCTTCCCTTCCCTTCCCTTATTCTATTCTATTCTATTCTATTCTATTTTCTCTTCTCTTCTTCTATTTTCTTTTCTTTTTTCTTTTTTTTCTTTTTTCTTTTTTCTTTCTTTCTTTCTTTCTTTCTTTCTTTCTTTCTTTCTTTCTTTCTTTCTTTCCTTCTCTTCTCTTCTCTTCCATTCTTTATTCTCTTCTCTTCCATTCTTTCCTTTCTTTCCTTCTCTTTCCTTCTTCTTTCCTTTTCTTTCCTTTTCTTTCTTCTTCCCTTTCCCTTTCCTTCCCTTCTTTTCTCTTCTCTTCTCTTCTCTTCTCTTCCCTTCTTTCCACTCTTCTCTTTATTCTTCTCTTCTCTCGTCTCCTCTCCTCTCTCTTCTCTCTTCTGTTTTCTGTTTTCTATTTTCTTTTCTGTCTTCTATTTTCTCTTCTCTCTTCTATTTTCCCTTCCAATTCATTCTCTCCAGTCTACAACACAATCCGTTCAGCAGTTCCAAGGAGGCTCCATACCCATTTGCCCCACTCAGGTGACCCTGAGGACACAGAGAAACCTCCAAGTAGCCTCAAGGACTCTCCAAAAGGACACAAATGACCAGCTGCCTGCAAGGAGCATCAATCCTTCCATTCCCCCACCATTCAGTCAGAGCTGAGGAAGCTTCTTGGAGGAGAAGCGAAACGTCTTCAAAGAAAAAACCAGAAAGTCCAGCTGCCTCTTGAAAAAAAAAGCATCTTTGGGGACAACCTGACCTTGGATGATGGAGAATAATCTCCATTGACAAAGAAATCTACAAGGAACGCCTGGAAGAACCGACCACGCGTGGTGTGATGTGGGAATGAGGGTTTGGGAAGTCTGACCCGTGTTGTGTGAACTCAGCTGTGTACCTGGAACCCAGGTTCATAGCAACATCCAGAGTATGCAGCAATCCATCCAGATGTGAGGACAATCCACCTTCACTCTGGGCCCTGTAGGGTGGGGGACTACAATGCCAGTAATCCCCTGGCTGTCTTAAATTGCAGCCCTGATGGGGCGAGGCAGAGGGGGGCCGAGGTCCCCAGATTCTCGAGGGCAGCGGTCTTGGGCTACTAAGCCACCAATTGTGGTTTAGAAACCCCAGAGCAGCATTGGAGAACTTTGGTTGAGAACCCTTTTAGATAAGAACAGGGGGGGGGGCTGAATTGTCACAGCTGTGGGGGGGGGGCGACAATGATGTCACAGGCACAGAATGATGTCATGATTCATTTGCTAACATTCCCTTGTGTTGTGTGTTGTGTATTTAGAACAGTTGCGGCATCCCAGGGTCATGTGATCCGCTTTTGCGACCGTCTAACAAGTGAAATCATTTAAGGACCGTGTGATTCATTTAACGACGACGGTGGTTCACGTAACAAACCTGGCAAAACAGGTCATAAAATCAGCCGTGGCTCACTTAAAAACTGCCTTCCTTAGCCACAGAAATTCTGGTCGTAAGTCGAGGACTCCCTGTTCGCCTCTTTCAGCTGCCAGATTCCAGGAGGCTGTTTCACCTGCCTTCCCAAGGGGTGTTGAGAGTAAAAGCAGAGAACCCAGACCAGCATAATTCAGATAATTTTGTCTGGTGGTGAAGGCACCAGGCGAGAAAGCAGGAGCCTCTGAGTTCTAGTTCTGCTTAGATATGGAAGTCGGCTGGGTGACTTTGAGCCAATCACCAGGAAACAGTGAGTTCAAGTCCCTTCCTTCCTTCCTTCCTTCCTTCCTTCCTTCCTTCCTTCCTTCCTTCCTTCCTTCCTTCCCATTCCAATCTTCCTACTTCCTTCTTCTCATCCCTATCTTCCTTCCCTCCTTTCATTCTTTCCCTCCTTCTCATTCCCATCGTCCTTCCTTCCTTCCTTCCTTCCTTCCTTCCCATTCCAATCTTCCTTCCTTTCTTCTTCTCATTCCGATCTTCCTTCCTTCCCTCCTTCTCATTCCCATCTTCCTTCCCTCCTTTCATTCTTTCCCTCCTTCTCATTCCTATCATCCTTCCTTCCTTCCTTCCTTCTTTCCCATTCCAATCTTCCTATCTTCCTTCTTCTCATTCCTATCTTCCTTCCCTCCTTTCATTCTTTCCCTCCTTCTCATTCCCATCATCCTTCCTTCCTTCCTTCCTTCCTTCCTTCCTTCCTTCCCCTTCTCCTCCCTCTCTTCTCCTCTCCCCCTTTCCTTCTCCCCCCCCTCAAAAGCCAGCTAGGTGACTTTGAGCCAATCACCAGGGGACAGTGAGTTCAAGTCCCTTCCTTCCTTCCTTCCTTCCTTCCTTCCTTCCTTCCTTCCTTCCTCCCTCCCTCCCTCCCTCCCATTCCCATCTTCCTACCTTCCTTCCCTCTTTCTCACTCCCATCTTCCTTCCTTCTTATTCCCATCTTCCTTCCTTCCTTCCCTCCTTCTCATTCCCATCTTCCTTACTTCCTTACTCCCTCCCTCTCTCCCCCCCCCCCTCTTCTCCTTCCTCTCTCCCCCTCCCCCCCCCTCTCCCTCCCCCCCCCCCCCTTGAAAGCCAGCTGGGTGACTTTGGGCCAATCACCAGGACACAGAGAAATTTTGGGCTCATCTGTTGTCGTAAGTTGAGGACTAACCGTATTGTACCACAAATAGCCGTGCCAACCAAATTTTAAATCGTGTCCTTCCAATTCCTGTAGCCATCTATTTCTTAAAGCCGCCCACTCTTTCAGCCATGCTCAACAATAAGCTGCAGAATACAGTTTCAAATCTAGACGTCCAAACTCTCCTGTTTCTTTAGAATCCTGCAGCAATTTAGTTCTCCATTTCTTGCCTTGCCAGACAAATTTAGAAATATCTTTTTACCCTTGCTTAAGAGCTACATCAGTCATCAAGTGTGATCGGGAATAAAAATAGCGTTCTAGGTAAAACATTCATCTTAATCGCAGACGTTCTTCCCAACAATGACGATGGCAGTTTTCCCCATCTCTACATATTTTTTTTTAAACTTCATTCCATACCATAACACAATAATTTTGAAACAACGTACAATTCACATTTTTAAGGTAATGTCCTTTTTCTCAATGTTAAAACCAGATTTATTCATTAGCTCGTCTTGACCCTCTGTAGCCATTTTGCAATAAATATCTTTGGTCTTGTTTGTTAATCATAAAACCTGTGTCAAAAAAATTATATAAATTGTGACTTCTGTTTATAAGAATTGTTCTGAGTAAGCGGCTGATTAAAGTGATACTGATATAAATCTCAGAGATATTTGCATTTTTTAAAAAGTTTATTGAAAGAATACTGGAGACAGGGCAAGGGGCTTTGATTTCATCCCTGAAAGTCTGTTGTGGGAGGAAGCCCTTAGTTTCCCCATGTAATTTATTAGAATTTATTTTTATGGCAGAATTCCCTAGCAGGATTTCAGAAAATAGGCTCTCTTTTTCACCGGTTCCTTCACTAGAAAAAAAAAGCAGAAAGGAAGAAGGTTTAGTCACAGCAGTCTAAAGTTATACATAATTTTTTTTTAAAAAAATGTTCCAACAAAATAAACAGCAAGTCAATAAATACTTAGGATATTCTGATGAACCAAAACTTGAAATGTTTCAAGCTTCACTGCATTAGAAAATTACAGAAAACCTAAAGCAGCCCTTACTCTTTTTCATTTAATGTTATCGGAGTAGGAAGAGCAATAGTTGGTTAAACTAAGTGCTACCAACCACCCTTCTTAGAGAAAAAATGACCAAGAGGCTTATTTTTACTTGAAAAAAAAAAAAACATGGTAGAGGCTGACTGGGGAGAAAATGCTTCACTGTTGCTTCCATTATTTTCTATGCGGGAAAAAAAGACACACAAATACTTTCAACTTGGGGAATCCAGACTTGCAACGTTTTGTACCGTTTTGTAATTGATCAGTTTCAGAATTTCATTTTCACCCTTTGCAGAAAAACAGAAGCATTTTTTTCCCTTGCTACCTCAAACAGACTTATGCAGAAGATGTTAACTTTATCACAAGGCCTTTTAGACCCCTGGCAATTGAATTTGTTTCTTCTATTTTGCTTCTTAATACGCAACTATAATTTTTAGACGTGTGTGTGTGTATGTAGTGGCTTTTTCACTGCGTTTTCTTGGGCGTGCAAAGCTATTCCATTGAACAACCTTTGCAAATTGTTACTGAGTTGGGGAAACACCAACCCTGATGGTGCAGAGCCTCATGCCCCCACCCCACCCCAAAAATTGCTTTTCCACCTTGGCAACTTGTGGACTTCAACTCCCAGAATTCCCTAGCCAGAATGCTTTTACGACAGGGAATTCTGGGAGTTGAAGTCCGCCCGTCTTCCAGCGGCCAACTTTCAAAAACACTGCTTTAACATGTTTCAGAAACACGGATCAAGCTAGGGATCGGGTGGTTTTGTGGCATTTTACGATCCTTACCTCTCGGAATCCATTCGCGTGATATGTGATCCACATCTGGGGTGGCAAGGATACGCAATCTATGTCCAGTTGTGGCTTGTTTATAGGATAATAAGTTTTCTTGCAGTGCCTGAAGTCTCATGGAAGTTTTAAAGAAGAGATTGGGCAACCATTTGTCTGAAATGGTGTAGGGTTTCCTGCCTAAGCAGGGGGTTGGACTAGAAGACCTCCAAGGGTCCCTTCCCACTCTGTCATTCTATTCTATTCATGCCTTACAGGGCACAGCATTCGTAGCAATTAATATAATTGATAAGTATGCTTGCCATCACAGCAAGAACTGTTTGCAGAAAGTCCTTTGGTTAAAATCTCTCCTTTCCGTGTCTCTCTTCAAGGAGAGACTGTTGCCCCAAATCGGATCAAGTCTGCCGGAGGTGACGCCGAACTTCAGAAGGGGGCTCCCCAAGAAACCTGGGCCAAAACCATCAACCTTTTCAGCTGCTCGTAAGACACAAACATCACCACGTTCCAGGACCCCAGCCGTAAGAAAGAAGGGATGAAGCTGGAAAAATGAGAAAAAAGGAATTTAAATGGCTGGTGCCCGAGACAATGCAGAAGTTTCTTAATCTCTTTATCTTTGATCTTTTATTAGATTTGTATACCGCCCTTCTCCTTTCGGACTCAGGGCGGTGAACAGCCAAAATAAAAACATTTGTACACAAGTTAAAATAATTTAAATGAAATGTGGCCCATAATTTAAAACATTTCAATTAAAAATCAGTATCAAAGGTTAAAGCAAACATGGAATCAGGCCAGCCCGGCTAACTGAAAAAAGTAAGTTTTTAGGGCTTCTGTGCTCAGAAGCTCAAAAAAACCCCCCAAAACCCCAATAGGGTAGCCACAAAGTTGTGTGTTTGATGTGCCATCTCCTTCTTTAACTTCAGTAGCGTGGTGGATTTGGGATCAGGAGGTCACGGTTGATATTTTGACTCTTTGGATCCCTGCTGAAGATGCTCTTTCTTCTCAAAAGTGTAATTTTGACTCATGGCCGGCCACGAGAGACATATAACCTTAAGAAAGGTCGTAGAATGGAGCAGAACTCGCTTAGCAACCGTCTCACTTAGCAACAGCAGAAAGTTTGGGCTCCATGGTAGTTGTAAATCGAGGACTATCTGCATTGCCCTGAAATTACCAATCAAAACCCACACCAGAGTGTCCACAAAATGCAGTCAAAATGTCCAGATGGAGGCCGCAACGTTCCTCCTAAAATGGATGGAGCTTTGATCGCACCATGTTGGGTCCCCATCATGGCATTTTGACTGTACCCTGAATCCCCACCATCCCCAAACTCTCTGTCCCCCTCCCCCATAGAGGTCTGTAGAGATTCTCCGTCCTCCAGGTCAAGTGTCAGGTTACGATGTCGTCTCAAATAAATTGCATTTCCAAACAAATAGTCTTTGATGAAATCTTTCATTTATTGAGTACAATGATCTGTCCCCGACTTCATCGTAGCCGACACTGACCCTCTGACCCCCAAACCCTTCCCTTTCCGTTCCCCAATTCTCAGCGTCTCATGGGCCATCTTCCAAGTCACCCTCCCCATCTCTACTACTTCAACTCACAGGAATGTCCCCCCTCCCATCCCATCTCCTAGGGGATATTATCTGCAGGGAAAATAAGTAGGTGAAAAGTCAAGGGTCTTCTTCTCCTTATGTCAGCACTGGAGTGCTGACATCAAGGTTGTCCCAAAGGTGCTTTTTCAAGTGGCAACTGGGCTTTCTGGTTTTACTTTTGAAGACGTTTCGCTTCTCATCCAAGAAGCTTCCTCAGTTCTGACTGGAGGGTAGAGAAAGGAAGGATTGATACTTCTTGTAGACAGCTGGTCATTTGCATCCTTTTTAGAGAGTCGCTGAGGCCGCTTGGAGGCTGATTTGTGTCCTCAGGGTCACCTGAGTGGTTGCAAATGGTTCCTGTAGTCTGCAATTTTTTTTCCCTCTGACTCCCACCCCATTCAAAGAGTCTTCATCCCAAATGGTATAGCTAAAAGACCTTGAGGACTCCGACAAACCTCCAGGTGGCCTCAACGACCCTCTAAAAAGGATGCAAATGACCAGTTGTCCGCGAGGAATATAAATCCTTCCATCCTCCTCCATCCAAGTCAGAGCTGAAGAAGCTCCTTGGATGAGAAGCGAAATGTCTTCAACAGAAAAAAATAGAAAGTCCTGAAAAAAAAGGCCCTTTAGAGAAGAGGAGCAGAAAGTCTTATTCTGCCCACTCAGCACATTGTCCAACCTTGTTGTCACTGACCACAGGAGGAAGAGGAGGAGAAGGAGGTCAGGTGGACTTCAAGGAATTATGGGTAGTCCTCGACTTACGTCCAAAATTTATGTTGTTAAGCGCAACGTTTGTTAAGTGAGTTTTGCCCCCTTTTCTTGCCACAGGGGTTAAGTGAATCCCTGCAGATGTTTCTAACCCAGTTGTTAAGTGAGCCTCCCTTCCCCACTAACTTTGCTTAGAACAGTGTTTCTCAACCTTGGTAGCTTGAAGATGGGTGGACTTCAACTCCCAGAATCCCCCAGCCAGCAGCGCCAAGCTTCTGAATTTGATCACATGACCACGGGGATGTAAGTGTGAAAAACCATCCTATGTCACTTTTGTCAATGCTGTTGTGACTTTGGTCACTAAACAAACGGGTTGTAAGTCAAGGACTCGCTGTATCTGCCTCTGTCCTCCAAGGAGGGTCTCTGGGGGACCCCGAGGACGGATGGGGAGGACCAAGGGACCCTCCTCTTGGTGAGGGGAGCAAGTGACTCACCCTTTGTAGAAAGCGTTTGGTCCTTCCTTCACCACCATGGTCAACATGCAGCTCAAGGCGTTCTTGTATTGTCCGGCACGGGAGTTCATGTACCGTGTTTTGACCACGTCCACTGGAGACGCCACCACCGTCGCGCAGAAACCGGCTCCGAACGCAGCGACAAAGTGGCACGGGAAATTGTCTGGGGAGAGAAGGGAGGAGAAGACCCTTAGGATGACGGGCATCAAGAATCTGGATAGAAGGTGCTCCTTCTCTCCAAATATGCTTCTTCAGAAAACATTTACAGATGAACAGAGTTGGAAGGGTCCTTGTGTCAGCGTTCCAGCGCTGCATATGAAAGGAGAGGAGAAGCTTGAACTTTTTCCTACTTAATTCCTTTGAAGATTCTGTTTCCTCGGAGATGGGAGGAGGGGGGACATTCCTGTGATCTGTATCCTGAAATAAGCGCTTGGCCTTATTGCCATGCGCTCAAAAGCCCAATTGGGCTTATTATCAGGGGGTGTCTTATTTTGGGGGAAACAGGGTAAACAAAGCCGTCCCTAAAAGAGGACTGCCTGTAATGCAGAATTTCCCCCTTCCCAATTTTTCCCTGGTTCCCTTACCTGTCATCAGGTGATACTTCAGCAGGATTTCCTTGATGAGGTCATAGGTCACCATCTCCCCACAGTTGACAATGGCATTGCGAGTGATGTTGGGAAACGTCCCTGCCAGGAAGGGAAGGAAATGTTGGTTAATTGGGTGGAAAAAAATGAAGGTTTTGGATTCGAAAACTGCTTTGGGAAAAGAACAGATGGGAAGAGGCACCTTTCTTTTTTTCTTTTCTTTTTTTTTTGTAAACAAGTTTTATTAGAATTTTTCTTTCATCATACGTATTTTATGAACAGAATGTTGACTGAGTCACATTTTAAACATAATAATCTTTATAATCTATTCTAATCTTTCCATTTTCATCTCTTTTATATAATCCTTTATCACAAATTAATCATTTTTCACCGTATCTTATTATTTCAGCTTCTGCCATGTTGTTCTTTTTTTCCAATCCATTTTACATCATGTCTCTGTTTCCTATTTCAGCCATAAATGTTCTCTTTCCATACTTCTTTATCTTATTTTCTTCTTAATACATGAACAATACCACTATCCGCCCTTAATTCCCAATCTCTTACAATGACGTCAATTAATTATCTTATTTCTCCGTTGCTAAATACAGTATATTTCTCAAATTCCCCATCCTACTTTTTAACATTTCAGTTACCTTTCCAGAGTCCTCGGACCCCTTCTTCCCGGGCGATCGTTCGATAGGCATCTACGGTCCCGTTGTACCTCTTGGGAGTCCCCACCAGCTGGATGTGGGCTTGGAAACGGACTTTCACCACGTCCGTAGGTTGGGCGCACGTCACTGCCATGGCGCCGGTGGTACAGCCGGCAAGGAGGCGGGTGAAAATGCTGGTATCTGAGATGTGACGAGGGAGGAAGAGGAAGGAAAAAGGACACGTGAACCTCCTCGAAGAGCACGGAGGTGGCTTTGGACAAGATACGCGGAAGCCGATAGTAAAACCTGAGCTTAGTCCGGGAACACAGGGAAGTGTGAGAAAGAAACTCAAGATGCCCTTCCTTGAGTCTCTTTGGTATAAGAGGGAGGGGAACTCCCTCAGGCTTTGGAGGTCTTGCTATAAGGTAGTTTATTTTTGGTGGACTCCTTGTTTCCTGGCTTGGCCTACCCCGAAGGGCTGAGGGTGTTAGTGAGAAATTAGGGAAGGGGTTCCTTGGTGATGTGGTTGATTAAGCTCTTGACCCTGTTTGTGATGGGGGAGAAGGAGGAGGAAGGGAAGAAGGAGAAGGTGGAGGTGAGAATAGGAAGAGGAGGAGGAGAAGGAGAAGAAGAGAAGATGGCGGAGGAGGAGGAGGAAGAAGGGGAGGGATGGCGATGAGGAAGAGGAGAAAGAGGAAGAGAAGAAGAGAGGAGAAAGAGATGATAGATGAGAATAGGAAAAGAAGCAGAAGGAGGAGAAGAGGAGGAGAAGATGGAGGAGGAGGAAGAGGAAGGGGAGGAGGAGGTGATGAGTAGAGAAGAAGGAGAAAGAGAAGAAGAGAAGGAGAAAGAGACAATAGATGAGAATAGGAAAAGAAGGAGAAGGGGAGAAGAGGAGGAGGAGAAGAGGAGGAAGAGGAAGGGGAGGAGGAGGTGATGAGTAAGAGAAGAAGGAGAAAGAGAAGGAAAGAGAAGGAGAAAGAGACGATAGATGAGAACAGGAAAAGAAGGAGAAGGGGAGAAGAGGAGAAGATGAGAATAGGAAGAGAAGGAGAAGAAGAGGAGAAGATAGAGGGGAGAAGGAGGAGATGGGAGGAGGAGGAGGATGAAAAGGAGAAGAGAAGAAGAGGAGGAGGAAGAGAGGGGACGAAGAGGACAACGAAGAGGAAGAGGAGGAGAAGACACTTATGCTAGCCTCCAGACTTACGCTCGGAGCCCTTAGGCGTGTAGAGCTCCTTCACCGAGTCGTAGAGCCCGATCCGGACCGAGGCGAAGCTCATCTGGCGCTGAAGACCGGCTACCAACCCGTTGTAGAGACTCTTGGGCCCTTCCATCTTCACCATGGTGGTGATGGTACCCAGGACGCCCTTATATTTCACTTGTCTGCTTGCCTTGCAAGTCCTCGATTCCCCCTGAATCTGGGAGGAGAAATGGAGATTGTGTGGCGTTATCATCCTGGCATTGCTCTAAACCAGAGATTCTCAACTTTGGCAAGGTTAAGACATGCGGACTTCAACTCCCAGAATTCCCCAGCCAGCATGGTTCCTTTTACACTCCACAGTCCCTACTCGATGGCATAGCTCTCTCTCTCTCTCCTTTGGCCACCTCCAAGGGTGCATTTTTTCAAAAGGCAACTATATTTTCTTTGTTTTTCCTTGAAGACGTTTCGCTTCTCATCCAAGAAGCTTCTTTGGTTCTGGCTGGATGCTGGAGGATGGAAGGATTTATACCAGTGGTGGGTTTCACATTTTGTTACCACTGATTCGCCCTGCGCATTTGCGCGCACCTTCCTTTCATGCACCCGGCCTTCCGTGCATATGCTTTGCTCGGGCGCGTGCCTTTCACGCATGCCCCCAGCCTCAAAAGCGTGCCTAAATTGGACAGTATAGCGCTGGGGCAGGTGGTTAGGCCCACCCACAATCTCCGCTACCGGCTGAATGCCACCTCTGATTTATACTCTTTGCAATCACCGTCTCCTTTAGTGACGGTGCCATTCTGATTGGGACCTACCTGGAGCCGGACTTTGGCTGTGTCCAAGGGAAAGGTGCAGAGGTCAGCAATGCAGGCGGCTGTGCCAGCGCTGAGGAATTTGATGGGTGCCGACGGTGGGATCTCGGAGGGCTTGAGACCGACCATCTTTCTCGGCAAACGACAATCTCCACTCCAGAAATCTTCCTTTGGCTGCGACCTATAATTTGTGAGGGTTGCCGCAGAAACAGCTCCAGCCTTGAGGAAGGAATGAACCTAGGAGAAAAAAAAAAATTTTAAAACCGATCACAAGAACCGCTAAGGTTACTACGATGGGTATCGTTTACGTTGGACTGAGATCTAATCCGAAGAGTTTAATCCGTGCCAGCTGAACCGATAGGAAGATACCGAGCAAGATGCCTGTGTGCAGTAACAGTGGATCCATCCGATCTTGTGGTAGAGGAGCGCAGAGACGATCTTGTGGAAAATACAGATAGTCCTCGACTTACCACGGTTCGTTTAGTGACGGTTCGATGTTATAATGGTGAAAAAATATAAGAATAGAATAGAATGGAATAGAATAAAGGGAGGGAAGGAAGAAAGGAGAGGAGAGAGGGAAGGGAGGGGAGGGGAGGAGAGAAAAGAGAAGGGAAGGGAAGAGAAGAGAAGAGAAAAGGAGAGAAGAGGAGAGGAGAGGAGAGGAGAAGAGAATATGAAAATAAGAATAGAATAGAATAGAATAGAATAGAATAGAATAGAATAGAATAGAATAGAATAGAATAGAATAGAATAGGAGGTAGGGAAGGAAGGAAGGAGAGGAGAGAGGGAAGGGTGGGGAGGGGAGGAGAGAAAAGAGAAGGGAAGGGAAGAGAAGGAGAGGAGAGGAGAAGAGAATATGAAAATAAGAATAGAATAAAACAGAACAGAACAGAATGCAGAATACAACAGAATAGGAAGAGAAGAGAAAAAGGAAGGATGGAGAAGAGAAAAAGGAAAGAGGAGAGGAGAGGAGGAAGGAAGGGAGGAGAGGAGAGAGAGAAGAAAGGAAAGGAGAAAGGGAAAGGAAGGGTGGGGAGGGGAGGAGAAGAGAAGAGAAGAGAAGAGAAGAGAAGAGAAGAGAAGAGAAGAGAAGAGAAGAGAAGAGAAGAGAATTCTTTATTGGCCAAGTGTTATCGGACGCACGAGGAATTTGTTTCTGGTGCAGAAACTCAGAGTTTAAAACAGCAAATACCATAATAGGTCACAGTTACAATAATCATAGTTACAATAATCAATCATAAATTACAAACCACAATCGAGAAATCATATCTAAATAGCCCGTAAGCGACTGATCGCAAATCGAGCTCTACCTGAAACCAAGCAATTAAAAACAGAATTTTTACCTGGACAACTCAAAATAATCGTCTCTCCAGATTCTCAGGCTGGCGTCCCCCCCGTTCGCCGCTCGAAGAACCTTCTGGCAAAAATGAAATCTTGGAGATCGTTACCAATGAACCGTCCGTCAATCAACGATCCGGCCGGTCCGAGCGGGGAGCAGCCCTTCCGTCCGGCTCGAACAGATGTCGGGACTCTTTTATTTATCATCGTTGTCGATGCCCCTTTATAAACTCAGCCGGGATGGCATTTCAACAAGATGCCAACGGATGAAAACACCGATCGTGTGGCGGGTCAGCCAGTGAGAGGACTGAAATGACCCCCTCTCCCCCCCCCGTCCCCGTCCCCGTCCCCGGTCTGTGGGGCCCAAAATAGCCGGTGGGGTAAGTCATTCTGGAAATAACTACATACACAGGGAATTTTTTCACCCCGTATGTGAAAAAAATCACATTTTTTGTGATTTCTCGGTGGACACTCGGTTCTCGGTGGACACTGTGGACATGAAACAGGGCTATAGCTGGTCCTTGATTTACGGCCATTCGTTTAGTGACCGTTCAAAGTTACAACCGCACTGAAAAAAATGACTCAGGATCGTTTTTCACACTTACGACCGCTGCAGCATCTCCCGGCGTGACGTGATCAAAATTCAGAGTCTTGGCAACTGGTTCCAATTTATGACGGTTGCTGTGTTCCCCTTTTACGACCTTCTATAATCAATGGGGAAGCCAGATTCGCTTAATGACTACATGATTCACTTAACAGCAATCAACAATTGTGGCCAGAAAGGTTGTAAAATTCACTTAAGAACCGTCTCACTTAGCAAGGGAAATTTTGGGCTCGTGAATTTTGGTCGGAAGTCAAGGACTACCTGCATTCTTTCTGCAAACTTCCAAGCTGCCCATCTCTGCAGTGTAAGGTGGTTGCGTTCACACAACCAATTTAACCAGGTTCCGTGCAAACAAATCAGGGATTGCTGCAAAGGTACCAGCATCCTTAACTCAGTCAGTGTTAAACTTGGGGAAAATGTTTCACTCAGCTTAGCAAAGGATGGGAATTTATTTTTGGGACTCTGCCAATCTAGTAAATGAGTGAATTCAGCTACAGGTGAGTCCTCGACGTATGACCACAATTGAGTTCAGGATTTCTGTTGCTAAAGGAGACAGTTGTTAAGTGACCAGAATTTCCTTTGCTAAGACAAGTTGGTTGTTAAGTGAGTCGTGCAACCTTTTTTGCCATCGTTAAGCGAATCACTGCAGTTGTTAAAAATGAATCATGTGGGCATTAAGCAAATCCGCTTGGCCCCCAAAGTCACAGAGGAAGCCGGATTCACTTAATAACTGTTTCACTGACTTTTAACAGCCGCAGTGATTCACAACTGCGGCATGAGGTTATTAAACGGGGCAAAACTTACTTTTAACAACTGTCTTGCTTAACAACAGAAATTTTTGGACCGAACCCTGGTTGCAAGTCGAGGACTACCTGTATTGGTAGATCTGCTGCAAATCCACAAGCGTGCAACTCATTCGGAACCCGGAGCCGTCCATCTGAAAGGCATCCTTGAGGTCATCTGGTCCAGCCCCCTGCTTACTAAAGGAATCCACATTGGAGCATTCCCAGCCCAGCGCCAGCCACTTCTCTGCGTATTTAGGGACGTTTCTAGGAACAGGCTGTGCTTACAATTTACAGTTGTAACCGCAACCAAGGCCAGGAAATGGTGTGACCTCCGCCACTGTTGTTGCGGACGTCACAAGAAATTAAAAAAAAAAAAGAAGTTTTCTCCTTGGCAGGAGAAAATTCCAGGCTCTTCTCGAGTTTCTGGGACGAACAGTTCAGGAAAACACGCTCCGCTTATTTGGGTGCCTCTAGCAACCGAAGAACGTTCCCACAGCCAGCTGGGTTGTCTGGCAAAAATATTAAAATAGCCTCACTGTTAGAAGGTGGAATTGCAAAGCGACACCAAGGGGGAAGAGTAGCATTTTACCTGGGAGAGAACGAGTCAGAAATAATTCGGATTATTGGCACCTCTTATGGGAAATTGGAGGGACGCGGTGGCTCAGTGGCTAAGACGCTGAGCTTGTCGATCAAAAGGTCGGGAGCTCAGCGGTTCGAATCCCTTGTGCCGCGTTAACGGGGTGAGCTCCCGTTCCTTGTCCCGGCTTCTGCCAACCTAGCAGTTTGAAAGCAGGTAAAAAATGCAGGTAGAAAAATAGGGACCCCCTTTGGTGGGAAGGGAACAGCGTTTTCCGTGCGCCTTTGGCGTTGAGTCATGCCGGCCACATGACCACGGAGACGTCTTCGGACAGCGCTGGCTCTTCGGCTTTGAAATGGAGATGAGCAGTGCCCCCTAGAGTCGGGAACGACTAGCACATATGTGCGAGGGGAACCTTTACCTTTATGGGAAATCTGCATCCTGCATGCAGGCGACTGGATGGAAAAATCAGGATTTCTGAGAAAACAGAATGATAAGAATTGAACTGTGTATCTTTTCTTGGGGATATGGAGAAGAAGCCCAGAGAACAAGTTTAAAACGAGGGGATTTTTCTCTGTAGCAAATCAGCCTCACTGCCTTCCTTCGTAGTATTCAATTCCCACAATCCCCAATTCATATGGTTCACGGCTGGGGGTGATGGGAGTCAGACTGGAAAGCTCTGGAAGGGGAGCAGGTTGGGAAGGGTTGATTTTTGCATTCTCAATTTCAAATTTTCAACAATTTGCGTTTGCAATTTTTTTTTTTCCCCATTGTAGGAATGGACCAGCTGGGTTGGTCGCGCTTTGCTCTCGTTTTAATATTAAAATTATGCCTAATTTTTAAGCTGTGGGATGGTAATATAGGTTAGTCCTCGATTTAGGACTGCAATTGAGCTCAGTGTTACGGTCGTAGGTCTTACTGGTTGTTAAGTGTGTCACCATGTGACTGCATCCGATTTGACAATCTTTTTTTACAATGGTTAAAAATTCTAAATCTTCTCCCTTTTTAAATGTAAATTTTAATTTGTTTTTAAATTATGGGGTATTTTAAATTCGTCTCAGCCAAATTATTTAATTCGTTTTTATTCTATTTTAAATTTTTGTATTTATGTGTTTTATTCTGTGGCTGTTCACCGCCTTGAGTCCTTCGCAAGTAGGGCGGTATATAAATCCAATAAAATAAATAAATAAATAAATAAATAAAATAAAAATGAATGCCGATTTTGTGACCTTGTTTGCAATGGTTGTTAACCAAACCCAGTATTTACAATGGGCATTTTTTGAAGGAAACCAGAAACGAATGTGAGTTTTTGAATCTTTTGTGCCTGGTTGAGATCCGCCATAACTTTTGAATTGTTGATAATCAACTGGCCATAAGTCGAGGACTACCTCTAGACAGAACCTGAGTATTATCTTCTCTTCTCAAATTTTACAGCCTCCGGAAGGAAGTGTCAGCATTGGGAAAATATATACTGCAGTGTTTCTTGAGTTTGGCCCCTTTAAGAGGTCTGGACTTCAACTCCCAGAATTCCCCAGCCACCCATGAATTCTGGGAGTTGAAGTTCAGATCTCTTAAAGGGACAGGATGTTGAAAAACGCTCAGTGATGGGCTTCACAATAATTTAACAATCAGTTCGCCCCAGCACCGAAAATGTGAGAGAACGCGCACATGCCATTTTGCGCATGTGTTTTGCTTGCATACATGCTTGCACACGTGCGCAGCTTAAAAAAATGCAACTAAATAGGATAGCATAGCACCAGGGCAGGTGGGCTGGGTGCTGGTTTGCCAGAACTGGTCCGAATCAACTGAATCCCACCCTGGAAACGCTGCTCTCCTGCCTCAAACGTTACCTTGCTATCGAAGAAATATGCTTGAATTCATAAAAATATTGTTTTTATTGTGTAAAAACCCAGAATCACAACAATAATAATAATAAAAAAAACTAAAACAAAAAATACTTCGTAAATAAATTAGCACGGTTCCATTCGGATGCATTATTTTTCCCCAAAACCTGATATGTTCCCAAAAATTGGAAAAAAACAGGAGAATCAAGGCTTATACAATTGATTAGACGCAGTGTTTCTCAACCTTGGAAGCTTGAAGATGGGTGGACTTCAACTCCCAGAATCCCCCAGCCAGCAGCGCTGGCTGGGGGATTCTGGGAGTTGAAGTCCACCCATCTTCAAGCTACCAAGGTTGAGAAACACTGGATTAGAGTCACAGATACACCTGTCCAGCTGGATGCAAATTTCCACATCCTACAGTTGACTTTTTTTTTTTTTTTGCTGTGGAAAGCTGGGAAATCTTCCACAGATGGAGCATTTCCCCCGATCCTGTGAGAACGGAGCAGGCATCCTAAATCCATAACTGCTCTCCTACAATCCCTTCCAGTTCAGATTTCATCCAGGATAGCCAGGTAAGCCTCAAACGGGCAAATCTATTGGAGAGGTTGGTGCTTGAAAGAAAAAGCAATTAAAAAATGTGGTTCAGGAAAGGATGCCCTTTTTAATCCAGGCTCAGGTGTTCACTTCCAAATTCCTTCGGGCAAAGAATCCAGAAAGGATTATTATTTTTTACCATGGGAGACAAATGGAAAGAAACGAAAAGGTAAATGAGAGATCCAGGGTGGATTTTTAAAGAGAGAGGAAGGGAGGGAAGGAGGGAGGGAGAGTGCCTTTATGGATCCGAGGTAGCCAGAGTGCAACTTTTTGGAGATCCAACTCTTTGGAACGAATCTGTTCCTCTCCAATGCTCAAAAAAAGAAAAAAGAAAAAAAAGACATGAAGCCAAAAGGTGGAGATTGGAAAAAAAAGATAATTCTGTTGCTGCAATGCGCTTTTTCCCCCTATCTTCCTATCACTAAGGTGACAATTAATCAGTTTTGGATGGCAGGTAGAATCTCTTCAAAGTGGCACTGATATTTGAGGAAAAACGGGAGGGAGGGAGGGAAAGAGAGAAGGAAGGAAGGAAAAAAAGAAAGAAGAGAGAAAGAAAGCGAAAGAAAAAGGAAGAAATAGAGAGACAAAGAGAAAGAAAGAAAGAAAAGGAGAAAGAGAAAAACAAAGAAAGAGGAGAAAGAGAAAAAGAAAGAGAGAGAGAGAAAGGAAGGAAGAAAGAAAAAAAGAAAGAATAATCTGGATTTCTCTACTACGAGGGGGTGGAAGGAAGACGGGTAGATACTAAGGGCCCTTCCCACAGCCATGCCAGGGACCTTGGGTGTCATTTTGCCCAGAGGGGCATCTTTGCAGTTCCCATGCCAACACTGAGGCCAGGAGGCACAGGATGCTGAAAAGAAGGCGGTGAGGAAAGGATGCGGCCTGGAGAACAATAGTTTGTCCAGGTGGTGCCCACTCCAAACCCAAAATTGCCTTCCGGATGACTGATGCAGGGGATGCCAACGTTCATTATCTTGGCTCACGTGTGTCTCTACGTTCTTGAAGGAGAACAAAATGCTGGTTTATTAGGTGCTGTTTCAGAAAGAAGGGCGGGGGGGGCACAGGTGAGTCTCGGGGTCCAGCAGAGGGATCTTGCCCTGATGTGACCCCTCCCGCTCTGCATTTGGGGGTCGGTGGCATTGAGAAGGCCGAGGTCACAGCCTTTGCTGGAAGTTTCATGAAGTGGACTCGGTCCTGCTGGCTTTATGCTTTTTCGGAGAACTGCGTGGAAAAAATCCGAGCGATTCTTTTCATTTCCTCTTCGGGCAGCTGAAGAGGCATCGGGCTTGGCTTGGGCCTTCGGTGAGGAATTCCCGGCACCTCACTTCGGCCTTCTCCAGCCTGAAACAGAAGGAAAGGAAAATGGCTCTCAAGAGCTTCTTTGTTGCTCTTATACAGAAATCATCTCAAAAAACCAAATTTCCACGGTGACTCCAGACGTTGCTCTGGGAGTGAGATGGGCAGTTGCTAAGTTCGGTGCATAGACAAAACTAACAAACAAGAAATTAAAAGTTCAGGAACACGAATTCCTTTTAGGGAACAACTGATTTGCTGGGAGATTCCAAAACCCCCAGAGTCGTTTTGCAAAATAGATGGATGCCATATAAATTAGACAGACAGACAGACAGACAGACAGACAGACAGACAGACGGACGGACGGACGGACGGACGGACGGACGGACGGAAGGATGGATGGATAAATGGATGGATAGGTGGGTGGATGGATAGATGATAGATAGATAGATGGATGGATGGATGGATGGATAAATATAGATGGATGGATGGATAAATGGATGGATAGGTGGGTGGGTGGATAGATGATAGATAGAAAGATGGATGGATCGATGGAAGGATGGATGGATGGATGGATAAATATAGATGGATGGATGGATAAATGGATGGATAGGTGGGTAGATGGATAGATAATAGATAGATAGATAGTTAGATAGATAGATAGATAGATAGGTGGATGGATGAATATAGATGGATGGATGGATAGGTGGGTGGATGGATAGATGATAGATAGATGGAAGGATGGATGGATGGATGGAAGGATGGATAGGTGGGTGGATGGATAAATATAGATGGATGGATGGATGAATGGATGGATAGGTGGGTGGGTGGATAGATGATAGATAGAAAGATGGATGGATCGATGGAAGGATGGATGGATGGATGGATAAATATAGATGGATGGATGGATAAATGGATGGATAGGTGGGTAGATGGATAGATAATAGATAGATAGATAGTTAGATAGATAGATAGATAGATAGATAGATAGGTGGATGGATGAATATAGATGGATGGATGGATAGGTGGGTGGATGGATAGATGATAGATAGATGGAAGGATGGATGGATGGATGGAAGGATGGATAGGTGGGTGGATGGATAGATGATAGATAGATAGATAGATAGATAGATAGATAGATAGATAGATAATGGATGGATGAATATAGATGGATGGATGGATAGGTGGGTGGATGGATAGATGATAGATAGATAGATAGATAGATAGATAGATAATGGATGGATGGATAGATAAATGGATGGATAGATAGATATAATAGATAGATAGATAGATAGATAGATAGATAGATAATGGATGGATGGATAGATAAATGGATGGATAGATAAACAGATAGACTGACTGACTGACAGATAGATAAATAGAGAGAGAGAGAGAGACGGAAAGAGAAGGCTGGCTGGCTGCCTATTGAGTGCAGAGAGAGACAGATGATTTAGTGATGGATGGATGGATAGATGAGAAGAACAGAGATAGATGATGGATTGATAGATGCAGAAAAGATAAAGAGATAAATAGGAGATAGAGGTGATAGGTAAGATAGACAGGCAGACAGACATGAATGGATGGATGGATATTGTGTGGAGAAAGACAGATGATAGATATGGTAGGGATGGATGGATGGATGGACAGAGACAATTTAGATGGCGAAAGAAAACCGTGCTTCCTATCCTCAGGGCTCTGCAGCAGAATCCAACCAGCCTTTAGTAGATTTTTGGAGCTGCGACTGCTGGGAAGAAAAATGCCTGTCCCCTTGGGATCCTCGGATGACCAGGGAGCCCTTCACGCGATGCTGCAAGAAGGAGAAGCTGGGCGGGAAAGTCAAACCCGTCCGTCCGCCTGCCTTGGGCTCCCCAGGCAGGTGAGGACAAAGGTGAGCCTGAACCAGGAAGCTTTTGCAATCTCCCTCCATTAATACACAGACGGTTAAAACTCTATGTCCCCCACCCTCAAATCGGGTGGAAAGGTTGATACCCTGTTAAGACAGAAACAAAATGCAAAAATAATTCGATACGGCAGAGGAGGCGGCTAATCCTTAAATCTGAGGTCTTCAAACTTGGCCGCTTTAAGACTTGTGGACTTCAACTCCCAGAATTCTCCAGCCAGCTGTGCTGCCTTAAATGAATGAAATTTAATGGAAATATAGTGGGAATCTCTTGCCTTAAGAAAGAAAGATCCAACGTTTTGCGGGAAAAGTCTGGAATTTTGAAGTCCACGCCTTGCAAAGTCGTTGAAAAAAACCTGACTTATGACCGTTTTTCACAGGTACGACCATTGTTGTATCCCCGTGGCGACGAGATCAAAATTCAGACTTTGGCTTGGCAACTGGCGTGTACTTATGACTGTTTTGGTGTCCCCGGTGTGTGTGTGTGTGTGTGTGTCACGTGATCCCCTTTTCCGGCTTTCTGACAATCCGGGGAAGCCGGATTCACTTAAACAACTGTACTGACTTAACAACTGCAGGGGCAAAACTCACTTAAGGACTGTTTTGTTTAGTAGCAGAAATTTCAGGCTCAATTACAGTCGTAAATGGGGGGGGATTACAGGTATTGTAGAAAGGAGGGTCCCCCTTGGGTCGAGTGAGCCGGTTCGCCGAGAATCACAACAGGCCAACCTCCTGCCAACAGACTAGCATCCTTCCAACACTTTTAACCCCCTCCCACTGCTCTGCAAACACGTTTTTTAAAACTGCATTTTTTACACAGAGGAGAATGCTCTTTTTTCCATCACAGGTTTGAATTTTGCTGATGAAGGATCCTGGCCTGTGTGTGTGTTTTTTTTTTTTAAAACAGCAGCCTTGAACTTTGGGGAAAGGAAGGGAGGCGAGCCAAGAGAAAGCACAGCGGTGGGTGGGGTGGCCATTAAACTCTGTTCTGCAATATTAAACCCTGGTTGGGAATAAAGCTCCCTTTTGCAAAAGGGCAGCCCAGCCAGGCAGCTGGTCACAAGCTATTAATGGCCCTCCCACCTTTCACCTACTGAGGGGGCCTATTTTTCCTCGCTCCCACCTGCACCCTGAAACTCTAGGAAGGGGGGCTGGCCTCTAGAAAAGGGGCCGTTCTCGGCTGAGTTCAGCTTATCCAAGCAATAAACTCAGACGCTAATAATACACTCGGCTGCACTTTCGCCTCCTCTCAGTTCTAGCACCACAGGCACAAATTTTTATTTATTTTTTTTGCAAACGGCTGGATCTCAATCCCAGGGTCATCAAAATATGTGTGCCAGGGAGGAAGGCTGGGGCTTAAAAATATCAGATAAACAGATAATAAGATATATATATATACACACACACACACATATATATATAAACATATATATATATATATATGTTTATGTAAGTTTTCACGGGTATATATGTGTGTACAGTTAATATCTCAGGTTTCTTCCCGTGTAATTGTAAAATATATATATATATATATATATATATATATATATATATATATATATAGGAGAGAGAGAGATAAGAGATAGATAGATAGATGATAGATAGATGGATGGATGGATGGATGGATAGATAGGGATGATAGATAGATAAATAGATAGATAGATGATAGATAGATACATGGATGATATGGATAGATAGGGATGATAGATAGATAAATAGATAGATAGATGATAGATAGATAGATGATAGATGGATAGATAGAGATGATAGATAGATAGATAAATAGATGATAGATATAGATAAATAGATGATAGATAGATGATAGATACATGGATGATAGATGGATAGATATGATAGATAGATAGATAGATGATAGATAGATGGATAGAGATGATAGATAGATAGATAAATAGATGATAGATAGATAAATAGATGATAGATAGATGATAGATACATGGATGATAGATGATAGATAGGGATGATAGATAGATAGATAAATAGATAGATAGATGATAGATAGATGGATGATAGATGGATAGATAGAGATGATAGATAGATGGATGATAGATGGATAGATAGGGATGATAGATAGATAGATAATAGATAGATGGATGGATAGAGATGATAGATAGATACATGGATGATAGATGGATAGAGATAATAGATAGATGGATGGATAGATGGATAGAGATGATAGATAGATAAATAGATGATACATAGATAGATGATAGATAGATACATAGATGATAGATGGATAGATAGGGATGATAGATAGATAAATAGATGATAGATAGATAGATAGATAGATAGATAGATAGATACATGGATGATAGATGGATAGATAGATAGAAAAATAGGTTGATTGTTGGATAGAGATAATTGAGAAGGTAGAGATTAGATAAGATAGAAAGTTAAAGACATAAATGATAGATAAGTTGATCGATGGATAGAGATGATTGATGATTGAGTAGGTACCCTGTTTCCCGGAAAATAAGACCTCCCATGATAATATGACCGATCAGGTATTTGAGTGCATGTGCTAAAATAAGCCTCCCCCGCAAAAATAAGCCCTCTCCGAAAATATTTAAACGCAGAGCTGGAAATCAGGTAAGACGGCAAGCGGAGCCCCATCTCGCTCCACGTGCCCCAAAATAATAAGACCTCCCTGAAAATAAGGCCAAGCACTTATTTCGGGGCTCAAAATATATATATATATATAAGACAGGGTCTTATTTTCGGGGAAACACAGTAGGTAGGTAGGTAGATAGACAGATATAGATAGATGATAAATAGGTATCAGATAGATGAAATTAATTAATTCATTTGATTTTTATCCTGCCTTTATTACTTTATAAATAACTCAAAGTGGCGAACGTACATACTCCTTCCTCCTCCTGTATTCCCCACAACAACAACCCTGTGAGGTCGGTTGGGCTGAGAAAGAAGGACTGGTTCAGGTGGCTTTCATGTCTACGGTGGGACTAGAACTCACCATCTCCTAGTGATTGGTCCAAAGTCACCCAGCCAGCTTTCATCCCTCAGGCGGGACTAGAACTCACAGTCTCCTGGTGTCTAGGCCAACATCTTAACCACCACACGAAACTGGCTCTCATAACCAAATACAGGCAGTCCTCGACTTACAACCGTC